CCCCAAAACCCCAAAACCCCAAAACCCCTCAATGCTAAAATTAGAGAAATTTTAATGATTTAAAATATCAATGTGTGAGACATTAAAAGGTGATTTTATTATTTCACCTGTTAAAAATATCCACTTCAGTTTATAAGATTTTAAACTTGCAAATCATCTTCTCTTTTCATAACATATCTGGTAATACATTAAAACTAGAAGATGCTGAATGATTTGATTGATTCGTCAATTAATTCTTCTCTTTGTAGAACATACCTCTTATAACACCACCAGTTTTAATTGGATCAATAGCACTTTATCTCATTTTTTACTCTTCTGTTTCATAAATTTGCTGCATAATTTCAATGCTGCTATTCTTTAACTAGATTTGTACATATTTGAAGTTTTCATCATTTCTTTTTGGGGCGAAATCATTCATAAAAGTATGACAGAGGTTTTCACTTTAAATTCTATTGATTTACTGATTCTACTTTAAGTAAATATTATCAAGAAGTTGAGATATTATTTAATCTTCATTATCCACTAAATTTGGAAGTTAGTGTGAAACTTTAGCTAATATTAGTACTTTCTATTACTATTGATTAGAATTTGTATTAATGCTATCATTATTGGCATTCTGAGGAGATTATAAATGATTGAAGAGTTGGTTTTTCTAGTCCTATTTTTCTTTCTTTTTTTCATAATTATTCTGTAAATTTTTTATTTAATTGAGCATTTTCAATTAAATGGAATTTGGTATTCTTTCATTTTCATTGATTATTTTATTAGAGTCCAGCATTTTTCCTATTATATTTGGAAATTAGATGATTTCAGACATTTCTACTTATGTTCCTGCAACTTTTTTAACTTACTTTATACTCTGTTTTTTTATCAAAAGTTTTTTACCTTCTTACTATTAATTTATTTTTAATTGAATCTAAAATTAATCACGCTCAAGAGCTAATTATCTTTCCAATTCCTCTATTTATATTTATTATTATGAAATTTTTTCATAGGCTTAAGCCAAATTTTAGTTATTATTTGTGAAATTTACTTTAGCCTTATTATTAATAATCTAAGCACTTGCAGCGAATCGAAGTGTTGAAAAGCTATATTATATATGAGCAGTACTCGGGCTTAGAGTACAAATTATTGATGTAAGAGAGTTGCCTCCAAGTGAAGATTTTAGAAGTTATGTAAGCTTACTTTCTCTATAGGGAATATAAAATTAATTCTATTCAGATAGTAATTTTATAACTTTGGCCAAGGTTGACAAGGATTTGTTAATATGCTTAGTTTCTATAATTTAATCAAATCCCACTTCTGTCAATCTTTCAGAACCAGCTAGGTCAACTATGTTTAAGATTGAACAGAAGTTGTTTTCTTATTTGTATAACTGATGATATTTTTCTTTATTCTCTATTATAATCTGGAAAATGCAATGAGATCTAGATGAATGGTCATGAATATTAGTTGATCAATAATGTCTATTATATTCACCTAATTTCATAAGTTTGCTAACTTATTCAAGTGTTTCTACTTTAGCATATGTAAGTTCTTTTGCCTTGAAGCCATTCATTCTATCATCCACAATCGTAAGATTTTTGCTCTTAGGGTTAAAAAGGTCATAACATACTTCATTGTAGATTTCCATATAACTAATCATAACAGAGATATCTCTTTCATTAAATTTCGATTAAGAGTATTTTAAAATATCAGTTATAGCATGGAAAAATATTCCATCTTGATTCTTCCCAATCATTGTATGTGTTTTGCCAGAGGTTGTTTAACCGTATGCCATTATTGTTCCTAAATGATTTTTTAAAAATAATAATTTACCATGGTAGCCCTCAATTACTCTATCTATAATAACTTTGCAGGAGTCTTTATAAACATCAGAGTTAGTCTAGTAATTAAGATAAATCTTGTCAAACTTAAATCGCTAACTAGAGAATTTATTTCTCTCGATAACAGAGATATTGCTTGTAAAGTTTGGATCAATCCATCTTTTATACCCATTCCTCTCGGGTGACAAAGTCTTTGAATATTGAGCTCTGCTTCTCAAATTTGGTTATAATTATTCAGCATCAATATTTCTCTTAATCTCTTAGTACTATAAAATTCTAAACAAAAATAAACAATGTTTACTCAAATCGAGTTATCATAGCTATCTATTTCCCAAGATGCTTCCTATTCTTTTTAAGTTGGAGGCCTTATTCTTAAACAAACTTTGATCTTTTAGATCTTACTGTAGGTCGTATTAAATCTTTCCATAAATTAATTTAAATATTATATTGATTCCAAAAATAATTAACTTATTATTTAAGTTAAAGTAGCAGTTAGGGGTTTTGGGGTTTTGGGGTTTTGGGG